AATTGTGTGTAACTAGTAGTTGTGTGCTTGTGTGTATGCTGGTGTTGCCACCAAAAACTTTCTTAGACCAGTGGGCTAATAGGGGAGCATACTGCTTAGGTTGATTACATTTTACAACAAGACCACCTTTAGGAAGACGCCTTATTTTTTTAAACTTAAATGTGGGAAAATGTTTTCTAGACTCAGTGGCAATTTGCGAATGATGAAGGGTATGTGGAACTCCTTCAACTATCAGTGATGGGATGTTTCGTTATTTTTATGTGGCTGCATTAGATGTATTGGTTAGTGCTGTAGGTGTGTTACATGGTGTGGTGTTAGTGGTTGGTAAAATCTTAAGTTTTTGTGTAGCAGTTAGACGTATTTCACCTCATTACCAATATGTGAAGGGACACCACCCTGCATGAAAACCATAGTGTTTGTTACATTTAGTTGATACATCATGGGAATCATACTGATTGTGTAGGCTTGCAGTCTATGCATGTATTGACGGTTCTCAAGTATGGTATTTTGACAATGTCAGCTGTGAAACCGAGCCACATTGCTACATTAGCATCATGGAGGTGTGTAGGAAATGTTATATGTGAAATATTATTGAGGAAAATATAATAACGACTTATATATTCAAAATATATCTTTATTAGCTTAATATTTCGCTATTACAGCTTCGTCAGGAGTTATTGCTATCCTACGAGTTCAATGATTTAGTTGAAACTTATTTATACCAATGGGATTATGTGAAAGAGTAACCATATTGCCTCAGATGGAAACATGAGACAACAATGGTATTTGCACTCTTTGCTAGCTATTGATAAGCTGTGGGGTTTTGGACCCCAAGAAGTAGCTACAACTTAAACATGGGCGTCCGCAGAAATTTTTCTAGGGAGGGGGAGTAGTATGAAATTGTGAATTGAATAAAAAAAAATCATATACATATACTGAATGAATAAAAAAAGAATTATGTTTCTCATTTTCCAGGTTGGGGCAAGCGCCCCCTCTTGCCCCCATGCGGACGCCCATTAACTCAAAATAATTATTGCAATGTAATATATTATAGTTTACATGAAGCAGATTCAGGGCACTGTGAAATACATGCGGGGCATATGTCCCATAAGCTGGTGCCCAACGACGTCCCTGTTTGTATCTGCATGATATCCAGTGCAGTTTCCCTTTCCTATACTTTACCGTTTGTGATATATAACGTGATGAAGTGCGAAACTTCCTTTATAAATATCATGTATATACACGCTCACTCACAAACTGTTAAGTTTTGTGATTTTATGTCAGTTTGTTTTCGTATTGTTAAGCATAAAGGGTTATTTGTGCTCTGTTTACTGCGGTTATCAAAAACCTACTTAATAATTAAAGTTATAAATCTGAAGACAACTTTTTCACACATTATTAACTTTTGTTAATTTAAACAAATCACTGAACATTTTATCAATTTAACATATTGATCGTTAAATCTCTCACTTATTAGTTATGTAAAATTATATTAGCTAACATCTTCAGATATCATAATAATAAAATTTCATATTGTTTTTATCTTCCTGTACAAATTTAACAAAATCTGTATCCTAAGAAAACTTCGATCTTACCACATCAGTGTGTGGCTCTGTAGGACTTTCGTAATCTATTTGATGTGTTACGTGTATATATATGTGTATTAAATTTCAAGTTCTTTATCGTAGCTATCAAGTAATTGATTTAAATGGTTTGTAATTAAAGTTTTTATTTATTACATTTGTTATGGTGTAGGTCTGAAGATATTTGTAAGCCTATCGTTAAATTTATGACTTACATTTTTAGTAGTGCTAGTACTGGTGTCACTACTTTAGTTTCTATTGTAATTCTACTTTTGCCAAATTCTAGTAATGTAGTAGTATAATTGTATGAGTGACTTATTCCATGTATCAATGATTCAAATTTAATGTAATTGTAATTTGTTAAATTAACGTTAAAAACTTAAGTTCAAAGAAAGCATAAAAATTGAGTGTTTAATATCAAAGCTATTATTAATATTATGATATTAATGTACCATATCAAATGTATAAAGATATTTTTTCGAGGAATTTTTTCATGTTTAAAATTAAGTTAAATTAAAATCTAAATAATGTTATTCTCGTAAACTAATGTTTTTCTAAAAGTAAAAAATAAAAACTAGTACTAGTAGTACAGAAATAATTCCCAGTTAAACTGACTTTTTACATTAATCAGACATCTCAATAAAAAGGCACAAGTGATCAAAGACATAGCAAATGTAAAATCAAATGGGCATGATGTTTATGATAGTCAATGGTCAAAAGTAAAACTATTATTAACGTGAACAACAAAAATTTGTTTTCAGTATACTGTTGTAAACAGTATGTTTACTGATGGTATAATACTAGCAGACTTACTAATATAAATTGTACAACAGTAACTGGTGTGCCCACAAATGTAGAGTTGCAAAATTAATTGAAAACAATGAAAAAATGAAATAGCACATAAAGGAACATTGTGAAGAGAAACAATATACTATGCATTGTACATACAATTGATATAACAGGGCAGTGAGGACAGTAGGATTTCTCTTTGTAAGAGAAAGTAAGTCAAAGATACTGTCTAAACATTAACTGTTCATACTTTACTTGGCTGAAGCTGAGCATGGAAGTAATACTAGTTGCTGAGAGCAGTTTTCACATTTATAGTGAAGCACATCAGTGTTAGACCAGAGTTGTTTCCAGTTTAGTCTCTTTCTTTGAGACATGAGTTTGTTATAAGTAACTTATAAAATATTCAGTTGAATGACTACATTAAGAATATTAGATAACATTCTACAACATACTATATCAATTAAACTGTCAGTTTTCATCTGTAATATCAGTACGTATTTTATACACATAGTTTACAACCTAACTAATCTCTTGAACTTTACCTTAGATTATTTTATTGATTCTGTGCAAGCCTGTATTGCCTCTCTTCTCACAGCAATAACAGACTATACATTTAATAATAATAATATAAATTTTCGTATGTATTCTACCTGTAGTTAGAGGATGTTTCTTCTAAGTTCCTTTATTGCTCAGTTATTACTTCTATTACTCAAAGTAACACTCATGTAATAAAATTATTATACACATAAATTTGCAGAGATAGTGAAAGTAAGTGAGATATATTGTTGAAGAGTAAATAACTAACCTAGATCTGGGTTTCAAGTTTTTAACTTGTTACCCTGGAGATTTAATTTTGTGTTACTAATCTTTTTATTTCACCACTCAGACTACCAATATACAGATTATCCAAGTCTTAACAATTTCAAATGTTTAAAATAAGTCACTGTCATCTTTCTGCACTACAGGGAAAAGAAAAACCCACCAGTCTTATGTAAGGTTATAGTTATATTCATACTCTCAAATTGAAAATTTCTATAAATGGGTACCAAAACTGTTGGGTATTTTAACTACTGGAGAAGCTGCAGCAAAAGGATTTATAAGCTTTTATTTTATCAGCCATATCTAAATCATTCTGTTTTTTCAACAGCATGATGCCCTTTTATTCAAATCTTATTTATTTTACACTTTTAACTGAAACTTATTTCTGATGCCCTTCTGAATGAGAGAAACACAATAACATTAGCCTTTCTTAGAATTTATGTGTCATCAGTAATTTTATAATTATTATTGACTAAGAAGCTGGCTAAGTTGTTAACATAAATAATAAAAAAGGTCTTAAAACAGATATTGATAAGTTTCGCTAGTAATATTCTCCAAATTTGAAAAATTCACATTATTCATATTTTTGCTTTCTTCTTTTAAGCCAGATTTTCTTGTGCTCTTAACTTTTCTTCCAGTTGATCAAAAAACAACTTTTTAAAGACCACTTACACTGCAAACTCTTAGCTCTCTCACTGACATAAAAACATATATGATCCCCTTTAGAGCACTGCCAGGGTCACATGTGTAAACACTATATAACTTATGTTTTAACTGTGATATTAATAACCACATTAGTTTTGTATTACTGTAAAGAAATGGTATTTTCCTTCAAAGTTCTCCAGTTTCAAGTTTCAGATAAGTAATGAAATATTAGAATATGTTTTTTTTGTTTTTTAATGTGTACCTATAAAATGTGGCAACAAAAGAATTAACAATTTTGAACATTTGAACCAAGACCCCCGATTTTCTTTGCACTTTAATAGGCAGCAGAATATATTTGAATTTGATGGGAGGGGTGCACTGACATTTGGGAGCACCTTATTTTCTATGTTAACTGAACCATTGAATTCAAAATTGAAACAGACTCCCCATTATAGTTATACACAGGTCTCTATTCCCTGTTCAAAGGAACGCTTCACTACCAGGTCAAAATTAGAAGGCTCGTGCCCCCCACCATGCCTTTGGTTTCACTGTCTATGTGCTCTTCAGAAGAAATGACAAAAACTGGACTTTTCCTTGAAGTTTAACAAACAAAATTCAGACATTGTTCCTGAAGCTTTCCAAAATGTTGGAATCCTTCCTGTAGTTGGGGAACCAAAACTGTACATAGTCTCTAAATGAGGCTTCATGAGTGCCTTGTACAAATCTGCATTAATCTTATGTTTAAAATCCAAATTTATATGGGTAGAACCAAGAATTCAGTTTGTTCTTTTAACCAAAACTGATCAGTTAGTTAAGGGCATAATAGTTTTATCATCAATCGCACCTAAATCCTCTTTTCTTCCTTTTTTCAAAATACCCATGATCCTCTTACACAAATAACTTTTTTGTAATCTCCATAAATCTTACTTGAGGTACATAACTGCAAGTGTTTCATTCTTGAAACTAATCTTTCGTATTCTGAGTCATTCAAAGATTTATGAGATCCTTTAGAATGAGAAAAGCATTCTCACATTTGTTTCGGTCATTTTGGAACTAGCTGCCTTCCTTCCAGTCCATTCAACAAAACAAATATTTTGAAATTAAATAAAGTATTTAACTTTTATTTGGATCCCATAAACACATCATAAGCAAGGACAATCCATGGTGATATATTTTACCATAATATCTGTTGACCAGTACTCCTCCTCCTGGTTGGTTCAGTCAAATATATGAATGTGCTAAGACATTTTTGAACTTTTTATTCCTAGTAAAGACAAATGTGTAAGATATTGTTGATGAAGGAAAATGTTTATAAACTTTTCACGATTACAAGTAAAATTATTTCATTTAATTTTAGTATTTATTTTCAGATTCGTTTCATACTCATCCAGAACCGAGCTGGCAAAACACGCCTTGCAAAGTGGTACATGAATTTTGATGATGATGAAAAACAGAAATTGATAGAAGAAGTTCATGCAGTTGTCACAGTCCGAGATGCTAAACATACTAACTTTGTTGAAGTAAGTAGTAGTTGGGAAGAAAAGTTGCATAACTATACTGTACAATATCTATAACACTACACACAACCACCACATGCATAAAAACAACAATGGCAGCTTGACGAGTGAAGCACTGCTGCACATAAATGTCCATGTCCCAAATATAAACACTTAAACACAATGCATTTCATTAGAATTAATTTTATGTTTTAGTTGTAAAAATCTACATGATTGCAATAAAACATTAATTAATTGCTACTAAACCTATGATCACATTTTAAAATTTTTCCATAAGGAAACAGTAAGTGTATTTAAATAAAGAATGCTGAGTGTGCCAGAGTGGCCTGTTGTCATGCCAAGAGAGCTTGGTTAAGCAAGTTATAAATTCCCTCATGATGTAATAAGACATTTGTGGGATGTGACATATGTTGATGTCATTTTATATATGCCTTGCATATATAAAAAAGGTAACCAGTTGTCAATGGAAAAGAACAATTTGTTTGAGAAATCACCAATGGAAGCATATTTTGTATTGAAACTATTTTTAAGTTTTAGGTTATGTACATTTTTAAACAATTATTTCTGTTGCCATAGTAATGTATAACTTTCAATGATTTATTTATTTATTAAGTTCTTATTTATTTTCCAGTTAAAATTTAGGCTTAGAAAGCATACAAACACAAGTAAAACAAAAGACTTAGAACATTAAGCAGGTATTGGTTAAGTAAAGAGTCTTTAGTAAAGAAATTCTTTGTTAAGATACTGTTCTAATGTAAAAGTATTTGGCAAAAAAATATTCATAAAATATTCACAATTCATTTTAACAATAAGTTGCTAAAATTTGTAAAATATACAGTTGTTTACACAAAGATACCCTAATAGTCATTTTGAAGATATTTAAAATATATGTTTTAAGAGCAATCTTTTTTTCTTTTTGGCTTGCAGTTCCGTAACTTCAAAATAATATACAGACGATATGCTGGACTCTATTTCTGTATCTGTGTGGACATCAGTGACAACAATCTAGCCTATCTGGAAGCCATTCACAATTTTGTTGAGGTGCTCAATGAATATTTCCATAATGTTTGTGAGTTAGATCTGGTGTTCAACTTTTACAAGGTGAGAAAATACTATACTAATCAATAGTTATGTAATAAAATTGACATGTTTACTGTACCTAAAATATTTTTTATAAGTTTCAGTTATGTAGCTTCTATTTGTTTGGATTTTTTGGCAGATTATTGAGAAAACTAATAATATTTGACATCTTATCTTCATATGTTATATATAAAAGTCCAGAAAGTTTTAATGAATTAATTTGTGAGACTCGAGATTAATCTCTTTGTTTTAGTTTTACTGGAGGTGAATTAATGAACTAAATACAAATATATGTATCTGTAAGTGTGTATTTTTCAAGTGGCTCAGTGGTAAGTCTGAAAGCTTAAAACACTTTAAAACCATGTTTCAACACCCATAATTGGCACAATGCAGATAGCCCATTGTGTAGCTTTGTACTTTACAATAAATAAATAAACAGCATATTATTCAAAGTTTCAAATATTCATTTTTAACTCAATTACTGAATCATTTAACTGAAATTTTACACTAATAAATCAAAGCATATTCATAAATTAACAATCCATTCATTTGATGCTGACAACTTCACAGTAGCAGAGAACTAGAATAGCACATCATATCTTTACTTTTCCAAATAAAACCATTTAAATATACATAAAGCATTTTTGAGTAAGTATTTTTATCAAATAAAAGACTTGACCATTTGCTGACAATTAAAATAACAGTTGAATAAGGTAACAGTGTCTTCTAG